CTGACAGATGATGGGAGAAAGGAAATCACATGCCCAGAGTTAGGTGGGAGAGCGAGGACTTGAACCCAGACCTGCCTGGCCCTAAAGCCCAGCTCTTATCAAACTCACTATGCTCCTTGCCAACCAACAGACACTGGTTTTAGTTCTGTGAGCCTGAGGCAATCTAAACCAGCTCTCCTCTCTGCCGTTCCTCCAGAACCAATCCCACTCAGGGCTACAGCGCTAAGCCATGGCCCGTACTCTGCACCTTCTGGGCCCTTCCCTCCTCTTCCCCAGAGATAAGCAAAGCTGAGCTCTGCCCTCATGGAGATACAATTTCAGGCCTGTGACCAGAGATGAAAGAGTCAAAGCTACAAAGCACAGCACATAGCCTGTTAGCCGAAAAAGCACCTGACAGTGTTTCCCATTCAGGGCCGGCAACATGAGAAGGAAATGACAGCAGTAACAAGATATGCATCTAAGTACGACTGGGACTCTCCTGTCTGCAGACAATCCCATGGAGGAGTCAAAGCTGAGAAAGCGACTACTGTGGGGATTAGGAGCCTTGTGCTGGTGGAAGGAGAGGAAGAGAAAATGAGGAAAAGTGGCAGGGAAAAGGAAAACTGGTGATAAGGATACTAAGAAAGTGACCAGCCAGACAAAGTACCTTCACGGAGACACAGACACGGAGACACACCCACTTTTGCTCCCCACAAAAGTCCTGCACCGTAGGGCAAGCACAGGTGAGAAGGTGAGTCTCAGAGAAGGGACAGATGGATCTCGTCCACAAGAATCAGCTAGGAAGAGGAGAAGCTGTGACTGTGGGCTCCAGGTCCAGGGCCGGGTCACCTACTCTGGGAAACCGCCCAGGAGAGCAAGAACTCAGGCCAAGCCCAAGTCTCCCACTCAGCAGACCAGGGTCTCTTAGAGTGCTCTTGCCCTGGGCAAGTTCCTTCCTGATCCTGCAAAAACTTTTTGTGGGGGACTGCTCCTTTTATACAAGTTTTCTCCAGTCCAAAGCTTGAGTTGCAGGAGCTCTCTCACTCCTAGGTGGAGGTTATGCTTCGCAGGGGAGACTGTCACCATTCAGATGGCAGAAGCTGTGGAGCAGAGGACTTACACAGAAGAAAATCTTAAAGTGACTGATGGTTTAGAATATTTATTTAGCATCATGATCTTCCAGGGGGCCTCAGTCTGGCCCTCTCCACAGGTTGAAGAGTCCAGGAAGCCCACCCAGAGCCCATCCTCCTTTCCCCCATACCTGGAGCTCTAGGCCCTGAACCTGCTCCCACAGCTGCTGGGCCTCTTTCTTGGATCCTGACTCCCAAGGTGGATTCTAAGTCCAAGGAGTGGCCACAGGGCAGGTATGAATACAGCCAAGATGTCCACACACATGGGTGAGACCTACTGGGGTGAAAAGGGATGACCCCCATTTGTACTGTAGCCCCAGGCACCCCAAACAGTGGGGGCCAGCCTGGATAGTCTTGCAAAATTTTACAACACACCTACCTGAATTATTCAGCGCAAAAAAAAAGAAAGAAAGAAAGAAAAAGTGTTAGTTGATCGTATCAAGCCCTCCAATCTAACTTCTGGGTTCCAGGAATAAAGGGGAAAGAGGAACAAGCTAAATGACACCAGAAAGAGGCAACCAGACAATTAGGAAACAATTAGGAAGGTGCAGAACTGGTCTGGATCCTTCAAGAATTAGTGTCATGAAAAGAGTCTACTAATGATTAAAAGAAATAATTTATGTAGTGCCTTCCTTCCAAAGAGTACAATATGGAAAGAGGAGGAAGAGAATAACTTTACAGTGGAGAAATCTGACCAGTATCACCTCAGCTAGGTGATCAAGGCCATGATCAACAGGAAGCAGTCATGCTGACAGCACGCTCTGTGACATGATGTGGTGAAAATGGCACTTACTTCTGTGGCTGTCCTCCCCTAAAACCCACAACCCAGTCTAATCAAGAGAAAAGCATCAGACAAATCCCAGTTACGGGACAGTCTACAAAATACCTGACCAGCATTCCTCGAAACCATCAATGTCATCCAAAAAAGGGTAAGTCTAAGAAACCAGCACAGTCCAGAGGAGCCCAAGATGTGACAACTAAAAGTAATATAGTATCCTGGATGGGATCCTGCAATAGTAAAAGGGCATTAGGGAAAAACTAAGGAAATGAATCAAGTATGGACTTTAGTTAATAATAATGTATCAAAGGGTGCCTGGCTGGCTCAGGTTGTGATCCTAGGGTCCTATGATCAAGCCCCACGCTGGGCTCCCTGCTCAGTGGGGAGCCTGCTTCTCCCTCTCCCTCTGCCACTCCCCGCTTATGCTCTTGCTCTGTCGAATAAATAAATAAAATCTTTAAAAAAATTGGGCTTATTAATTCTAACAAATGTATCATACTCATGTAAGTGGTTAATAATAGAGAAACTGGGTATGGCATATATGGGGACTCTCTGTATTATCCTTGCAATTTTTTTTTTTTTAAAGATTTATTTATTTGCCAGAGAGAGAGAGAGAGAGCACACACAAGCAGGGGGAGCAGCAGGCAGAGGGAGAAGCAGAATCCCTGCTGAGCAGGGAGCCTGATGTGGGACTCTATCCCAGGACCCCAGGATCACAACCTGGGCCGAAGGCAGATGCTTAACCGACTGAGCCACCCAGGCGTCCCTCCTTGCAATTTTTCTAAAACTGTTCTAAAATACAAAGTTCAAAAAATAAATAAATTACAAAGTTCATGGGAGTGCCTGGCTGGCTCAGTCAATAGAGCATGTGACTTTTTATTATTTTTTAAAGAGAGAGAGAGAACGTGTGTGCGTGTGCACAAGAGAGAGTGTGAAGGGGGTGTCAAGAATCTCAAGCAGGGAAAAAAAAAAAGAATCTCAAGTAGGCTCCACGCCCAGCACAGAGCCTGACACGGGGCTCCATCTTACAACCCTCAGATCATGACCTGAGATGAAATCAACAGTCGGTTGTTCAGCTGACTGAGCCACCCAGGTGCCCAGAGCACGCGACTCTTGATCTCAGGGTTGTGAGTTCCAGCCCCACACTGGGTACAGAGCTTACTTTAAAAAAAAAAAAAATATATATATATATATATATATATGTATGTGTGTGTGTGTGTGTATAAAATACAAAGTTCACTTAAAAAGAGAGAGAAAGAGAGATGGAGATCTAAGGAACATAAAAACCAGATTAGATGCCCTTTTGGGAACTATTAGAAAAATTTGCTTGACTAGGTGTTAAGTGATAATGGAATAATTATAAAAGGTTTCTTTCTCTATGTAAATAAGATTCCTTTCACTATGTAGAAAATATTTTTTTTGAAGATTTTATTTATTTATTTGACAGAGAGAGCACAAGCAGAGGGAGCGGCAGGCAGAGGGAGAAGGAGAAGCAGACTCCCCACTGAGCAGAGAGCCCGACACGGAGCTCGATCCCAGGACCCTGAGATCATGACCTGAGCCACCCAGGTGCCCCGAAATTATTTATTTATTTATTTACTTATTTGGGGGGGAAAAAAAGATTTATTTAGAGAGCGAGCATGTGCTCAAGTAGGGGAAAGAGCAGAGGGAAAGGTAGAGGAGAGAGAGCATCTCAAGCCGACTCCGCATTGAGCTCGGGAACCTGACATGGGGCGATCCCATGATCCCAAGATCATGACCTGAGCTGAAATCAAGAGTCAAATGCTTAACCCACTGAGCCACCCAGAAAAATGTTATTTTTTAAGATGCATGCTGAAAGAAGAATTTTTGTTTGTCCTCAGAATAAATTCCAAACTCTTTTCCATGGCCTAGAACTAAGTCATGTAAACTCTGGTACTGCCCACCTCTCTAGCCTCATTTTGTACCACTCTGCTTCACTCCCCACAGCCTGCCACATCCGCCTTCTTTCTGGCTCCTTCTGCTTTAGGGTCTCTGCCCATGCTGTGCCACTTCCTAGAATGCCTTCACATGCTGGAGGAAATGAAGTAGCCCCCACCTCTGCTCTATCTCATCACCCTGTTTACTTCCTTCAGAGCCTCAGCTTTTTTTTTTTTTTTTTTAAGATTTTATTTATTCATTTGACAGAGAGAGACACAGCGAGAGAGGGAACACAAGCAGGGGGAGTGGGAGAGGGAGAAGCAGGCTTCCCGCGGAGCAGGGAGTCCGATGCGGGGCTCGATCCCAGGACCCTGGGATCATGACCTGAGCCGAAGGCAGACGCTTAACGACTGAGCCACCCAGGTGCCCCAAGAGCCTCAGCTTTTTGTTTGTTTGCTCACCATGTGTCTCCCCCTCCTAGAATGTAAGTTCCTTGAGGGCAAAGACCTTTCCTCCACTTGTTCACCATCTCTCCAGCATTTAGAACAGTACCTTACTCACAGTATATGCCAAATAGGTTATCTGTCCACTGAATAATTCAACAGGTCTTAGACCATAACAACTACAGGAGTTATAAGCCATTCCAAGTCACCTCTACTTCTCTTGGTGTTACCATAATAAAATAAAGATGTTTAAAAACAGCATTCTAGGGGCGCCTGCGTGGCTCAGTTGGTTAAGGGTCTGACTTCGGCTCAGGTCATGATCCCAGGATCCTGGGATCCAGCCTTGAGATGGGATCCGCACTCAGTCTGTTTCTCCCTCTCCCTCTGCCCCTCCCCCTGCTCGTGCTCTCTAGCTCTCTCAAATAAATAAAATCTTTAAAAGATTAAAAAAACAGACAGCATTCTATAAACTTTTTCCTCTTCAAGTGGCTTCAATCCATTCCCTCATTTATGATCTCATCTCTCAGTAGGAGGAAAGGCAGACATGCAGAGGGAGTCCTGGGCATTGGTTCCAGACCGGATTCAAGCTAGCTGTGACCTGGGACCAAGTGTGAACCGAGGAGGTAGCACAGACATCGCTGGCGCAGACATGGAGATCTGCCTTCTCAGGAGAGGGACTGCCTAAAAGATTCCTTTCCCAGTGACTGACTTTTAACTCACTCACTTCACCAAGTCAAATCAGGTTATCTGGGAGACCGGCCCCATCCTTACCAATTGCAAACTCCACCAGGGTTTCATTCGCCTCCGACAGGGAATCGAGGAATAAATCAAGGACCTGCAACTGCCGCAGATACTGGTAGTTATTGGGATCATAGGCGAAGTTGGCGAGGTTGGCCAGTACTTGCTCCTTGGCGTCTGCAGCAAAACAGTGGCGCTGGAGCCAGGTCCGGGACGGCTGTCACGGCCGGACCCCTGCCCCGTCTCTTGCCCCCCACCCTGCCGCTCTCACCTTGGCTCTCCGTCTCCTGGAATTCCGTGACCAGTGCCTGCAGGTATCCCAGGCGCCCGACGTGGGGGTCTACCTTCGGCTTCTGGGCCATGGTCAGGGCGGCAGAGGGGGCAGGTGGAAGGGCAGGAGAGTGTGGGAGGTGAGGCCGGAAACAGGTTCCTTCCCTGGCTTCAGGTTCTGCAGTAATTTGCTGCCGAACTTGGAATGTGGGGGGTGGCGTGGAGTCTCAGGACCTTGCTAGAGTTCCGCGCGAAAACCTAAATTTGGAAACGGGAAGCGAGAGGAGGGAGCAGCAGCACCCACACAACAACTTCCGAGCTAGATTTCCGGCTCGATTCCAGGTTTCCGGCGGAAGCCGCGCTGAGCCCCCACCGGAGGGCGGAAGGGGTGGGTCGAGGCAAGCAAGAGGTGGGGCTGTCGCTGAGCTCGGTGCGCGTGCGCGGCGCGCTTAGTGCCTTAAGGCTGTGGCTGGAGGGGATCCGCCTGCGGAAGGGTGCGGTAGCGTTTAGGTTGCTTTAAGGAGTACCCCTAGGGCGCTCGGGAACCCAGAGGAGTCGGAGGGCGTCCATGTGGGGAAGTGTCGAGGCGGAAGAACCTCCAGACACCCTTGCACTTGACGAGGGTGCGCAGCCCGGCCTCCTCGACCAAGGGACTCCCCCTCTGGAACTCGGGCGTCAGTTCCCTGCAACCCGACATGGGTCCTTTGACACTATCTTCTGGTCTTTTCCAGAAAGCCGGGTGAGCCTGGCACCTTCTGCTCCCCAGCCCTGAGCTAGCCACCTCTGGCTAGAAATTACAGGGTAATAATGTCCTAAGGCTTTTTGCCAGCCAGGTGGATGGGGAGCGCTAGGGGCATCGATGAGCCCCAGGACCCTCCGTTCACCTAAATGTACTGCTTTGGCCGCTCTGGGTTGTGGAGTCCTGGATGCTGAAGCCGTTTGGCCCAATTCCTTTTCTCAGGGCTTCTCAGGAAGGTGATGTGTGACCTAGGCCTCGTAGGCACAGAGACTAGAGCACCAGGCAGGGAAGTGGCCCTACTGCACTCCCACTGTGCTTGAAAATGTTGGGGTAAGGGGGGTTTGGTCTGTGCCTTCTTGAGGTTAAGGACCACGTATCTTTGGCCCTGGGCCTGGCATGAGGTCAAAATGGCTGCCATACTCCAGCCTGCCACAGCCCCATTGACAGCAGGCCCCATCTCCATGGGCTCAGGTCCCTGCGGTAAGACCCTGACCTATGCGCACACCTTGGGGCAGGAGTTATGACTATAAACCGGGTGCTTGGGTACCCTGATAGCTCCACATAGGGCAGTGGTCCCAGACCTGTCATCAGGCCCTTCGGCTTCTGTAAAGAGCTGATAGAACTTGGGGAAGTACATCTCATCCCAAGGTGGCCAGGGGCTTGTCTGCCTCTGGCTGGACAGAGCAGCAAAGTCCTGGGGACCAGGGGCTCAGAGTTCAGGGACACGATGTAGGTGAGCTCTACCCTGCACTGGTCAAGAACTGCTCCAGATCCTCTCTAGAGGATTCCCAGGAAAGCAGCTAAGTGGGGATTCTGGAATCAGATGGGCCATCCCATCTGTCCCCTCTGAAAGGCTCAGGGGCTTTCCTCCTTGGGGAAAAATTCTCAGTCCTTGGTTTTGTGCTGAGGGCATCACCAGGTCTTACTCCTCTCTGCCCAGTCCCTGGCACATAGTAAATGCTCAGTAATTTTGTTGAAGGGAATCTGCCCAGCGATTATTGCCACTCTTGGCTGGGGGCAGATGAGATCAAAGTTCCCTATGCTGAATGTTCACTGATATCTGTTTTCCCTAAAAGGAATGTTTTCAGGAAGTGGGCCCAATAGGGGTTGCATATTTCAAAGCCTGGTGGCTATTAGTGCCGAAAGTATCCACCTACCCACCAGTCCCACTCTCTCCTTTTCCACTCAGTTGAGATGTAGGGGATAGGACCGGGTAAAATGTGTCCAAGCATTACCCCTTCAGTGCACAGGATGTGGATGGTGGCTAAGCATGGGACTGGGTGAGGAGCAAGAAGGCAATGGGGGTCTTCAGGATCAGACTTTTCAAACAAGAAGAGACTCTGACTTATTCAGGCCAGCATCCTCCTTTTTTAAGGCCCAGAGATGGTGAACAATTGCCCAAAGTCACACATCAAACTGTGGCAGAGCCAAACATGAACTCAGATCTATCCCAGCTCAGAGCCCTTTGCTTCACCTCTGCACTACTTTATTTGACCATAAGGGGGCACTCATGGCAGGATCCTGGAGAAGACAGTACTTCCCAAGGATGCTTACTCACACCAGCTGGGCCCGAGAAGGCTAGAGTCAGGTCATGAAAATAAAATTTATTTTCCTGATAAGGCTTTCTTGTCAGAGCCTGGTTGAGCCTGAATCAACAAACAAGGCCTTGGGTCACAGCAGCCCCTGCTGAGCAGGGAGAACTGAAGGGGGAGGGGAGGGACTTACTCAAGGCCTGTTTTCCAGCTTCATTAGTTCACAGGGTTTATAACCTGCTACATACGGGAAGGTTTTTTGTGTGTAATTCAAACAAACTCTGTTTTTCCACTGCCTCAGGTGGTACCCTGCTGGGACAAGCTTGGAGTGATGACCTCAGGGACCAGTACCAGCAAAAAGAGGATGTGTGTGGGGAGCACTGATCTCCATGCCACAGGAACAGGCCCCCTGGGAGTGGAGGTGGGCTGGCAGCTGGCCCAGCCGGCTACTTACCCCAGGGTGGACACCTCTGACACAGTAGGGAGAGGGAGTGAAAGGCTTCTGCTGCAAAAGCAGCTCCATTTTCCCAGAGGTCTCACGCCCTGCCTAGCAATCCTTCCGTTCCGCTGCTCACGCAAATGTCAGGCTTCCCCCTACCCCAGCACTCAGCTTCATGACCAAGATACAAGGTGGGGGCACTGGAGGGAGGGACACTGTAGAGCAGGCCCTGCTGAGTGCAGGGGACCCCTCAGACTTCATTGATTCTAGGACCCAAGCCAAGGGCTCCCCTCCAGTTCTTTGCTCAGACACCAGGATGGGTCCTCTACCCAACCGTTAATCTGTCCGTGTCCTGGGTCCACGCCAACCCCTCAGCCCGGCCCTCCCCCACTGCCGGTCACAGCTCATTCTTTCAGGAGGTTCTTCTTCTCAAGCTTCCAGTCAGCGTGAGGCCCGGCAACCTGTGCTGGGGGCCGCCCTGAGGGCAAGGGCTGGGGCCCTTGGGAAGAAAGGGGGTGGAGGGCCTTCCAGGAGGGGTGAACTCTTTGGAACTGTCTGGAGGCCGGAGAAGGACAAAGAGTCACATCAGAGACATCCACACTAGACTGGAGGGTCCAGTGTGTTGAGTGGCAGCAGAAGTACTGGGCAGCCAGCTGAGCCAAGCCGGCTGTGACAGACCCAAGCAGGGCTTAGACTCACTTTCCTGGGCTCCAGGTATGCTGGTACCCCAAAGAAAAGGTCAGGAGGACCCGCTCCTGGATTCTGCCGGTTGGAAGGAGCCCTGAGTCTTTGGAGGCCAGCCTCCAAGGTCCCAGCTCCTGGCTGACTCCCGGTGTGCAGAGCCTGGATGGCTTTTTGCTTCGGGCTTCCTGGGCAGCCCCTCACCCCAGCCCCTAGCAGCTGGACATCACATTCCTGGGCTGCGGAGGTGGTCACTCACTGACCTCAGGGCTCAGACGCTGGTCACATACATGACCTCGGTGTATAGCTGCTTCTTGGAATCACATGAGTCCTCCGCCATGAGGCCCTGCTCTGAGGCAGCCTCCGTGATGGCTCCTTCTGCCTTAGCCTGCTTGTCTGGCCTCTCTTTCTTCTGAAGGGCACAGAAGCTGCCACCCATAAAGAGGGCAGCTGATATGAGGAAGAAGCTGGACATGTAGAAAACGTAGCTAAAGTTGTTGTCGGTGGTGTCCAGGAGGAGCCCTGGGGGACAGAGAGCAAGTTAGGCCACTGTCTGGGGCTACCAAGCCTCCCTCCCAGTAACTTGTGTGCTCTCTGAGAGCAGGGATTTTATTTCAGGCTCTGCTGTATCCCCAGTAGGAGCCACTGTGGCTGGCCCCTAGGAGACACTCAGCAGAGATCTGTTGAATCAAAGAAGAGGAAACACTAAGCCTGCTCTCCAGGGGGCAGGAAGAGCCCTTGGGCCAGAAGGGCACCTCAGGGCATGTCTCCCTTACCCTTGGTGGCAGGAAGCCCAGCACACAAGGGCCAGGAGTCTGGGATAGCTGCTCAGCTACACCTGGGCCCTCCCATACGTCTCTGCTCCCACATCTGTTTGTTTCCCTCCTGGCACAAGTCACCACGCTGAGCACAAACGTGTCTCTGCTTTAATTCCTGACTCTCCCACCAGAAGAAGGTCAGCCCTGAGAGGTGGGGACTGGGCCTCTGTGTTCAGCCATGCCCACCAGGGACAGGCACAGGAGAACCAGTGGTTAAGGCAGGTGTTCTTGTCTGCATTTTGCAGATGACACTGTGGCTCAGAGAAGGAAAGTGACTTGCCTGGTTCCCACAGGCAGGAAGTGGGACAGCCAGGATGTTCATCACGGCAAACGTGCACAGTTTTCTGCTCTGTGCCGGGCTCTCTGCTGAGCTCTTTGCTATATAACTGTGATCCTCACAACAAGCCTACAGGGTAGATTCTATTATCATCCCCACTTTGCTGATAAGAAAACAGAGGTACAGAGAGGAAGACGAAGGACTCAGGCAAGTCTGGTATAAAAATCCTTACTTTAACTGTTCATACCCTGGGCGCCAGCTGGGGAACAGCCTGCATCTTGGAAAATCACAGATTCCAAGTCCCCACCCCTGGAGATGCTGATGGCACCCAAATCTGCTCAGACCGTTCCCCTTTGCCCTGTCTCCATATCCTGCCCACCCAGGCCACACCCGTGTACACCTGGCCGCCCTCCCTCCTGGGGCCTCACCAGCCAGTGGCGGGGAGATGAGAATGGAGATGCTCTCCAGGATGGTGAAGAGGCCCAGGGCGCTGGAGAACCGATCCATGGGGACAATATCCATGAGGACCTGGAAGAGGAGGGCCCCAATGCCACTCATGGACACGCTGTACACCAAGCAGTAGCCCACCAACACCCGGAAGTCGGCCGACGCGGCGCACACCAGGTTGGTGAGGCCATTGAGCAGGGCTGCCAGGCTGAACAGGTACTTCCGGTGGCCAGCAAAGTCCCGCCGGCCTGCCACCAGCCCGGCCATGGGCCGCAGGAAGATGTTGCTAAAGCCAATGATGGAGATGAGCAGGGCTGCCCTGTGTTCATCCACCCCATGCCACATGGCATATGGCACCAGGAAGACGTGCGGCAGCGGAAAACCCAGGATCATCCACATAACACCCAGCGTGTACACTCGGTAGCCCGCATTGTGCCGCAGGATATCAAAGGCCAGGTGGCGCTGGATGGCCCGACCACACGCTGCCAGGCAACTGGTAGCAGGTGTCTTGGAAGGTGGAGGGGGGCCTTCTGTGGTCTCAGGGGCTGCGCTGGTGGCCACGGGCCTCAGAACGGCTCCACAGACACAGCAGTGGAGAAAAACGCCGCCGAAGACAAGGAAGGTGCCCCTCCAGCCCAGATCTTCCAGGAGGTAGCGGGAGAGCAGTGGCCAGAGCGTGATGCCCAGGGAGACGCCCACCGAAGCCAGTGCGTTGGCCAGCGCCCGATGGCGGGAGAAGTAGAAGCCCAGCACGGTGATGCTCGACTGGAAGCTGAAGCACATGCCCAGGCCTGTGGTGGGAGGGAAGAGACCGGCTCAAGGGCGTTCTGGGGCCTTCCACCCGTACCCAGAGAGGGGTCATGGGGTCATGCTCCATGTCTGCCCTCCTTCTGTTCGAGCCCAGACCCACTTCCAGGTCCCCAGGGGCTGAAGAAGGGAATAGCCTGCCTTGCCACCCCCTTAGAAACATCCACTCTGCCCTCCCAAGGCTGCCAGGGGCACACCTGTCCCCTTTGCACAGCACTAGGGTGATCTTTAAAAAACCTAAACTGGGGGGCGCCTGGCTGGCTCAGTCGGTGAAGCATCTGCCTTCAGCTCAGGTCAGGATCTCAGGGTCCTGGGATTGAGCCCCGTGTTGGGCTCCCTGCTCAGTGGGGAGTCTGCTTCTCCCTCTCCTTGTCCCTCTGCCCCTCCCCTAGTGCTTGTGCTCGCTCTCTCTCAAATAAATAAATAAAATCTTAAAAAAATAAATAAACAAAATAAAAACCTAAATTGGGGTAAGTTTCTTCCCTAACACTCTTCAAGGACTTCCCATTATGCCTAGAAAAAAATGCCACCGTATTTACTATGCCCTGGAAGGCTCTGTACGGTCTGGCCCCTGGTCATCTCTTGGGTGCCATCTCAGGCCATTCTCTGTCACTCACCATGATTGAGCCACATCAGCTTCTCTCTCTTCCTCTGGACACCAAGCTGCCCCCCACAGCTGAACATTTTGGGAGAGAAAGCTCACGGCCACACCATGACCACAAGCCTCAGGCGGGCTCTCGGGCCCCTACGATGCCACTGTCCGTTTTCCCTCCCACCCTCCTAGATGACCACCAGTCCTTCTCTATGCACCCTCCCCTCCCCCCGCCTCACCCCCAGCTGACCACCTGCCTTCCATCTGTAAAACTGGACTGTCTGTCCCTACTGCCAGCCAAGGCCAACCCTCCACTTACGCCCTTCCTCTTGTCTACTCAAAGGCGTCTACTCAAAGGCGTATCCCTTCAGCAATTTCCCTCTCCTGCACCACCCACTTTCTCCTCTTTGCCAGATCATTCTCGACTTCATTGTTATTTCTCCCATTAAAAACAAAACAAAGGGCACCTGGATGGCTCAGTCAGTGAAGCATCTGGCTTTGGCTCAGGTCATGATTTCGGGGTCCTGGGATCGAGCCCGGAGGTTGGGCTCCCTGCTCAGTGGGGAGTCTGCTTGTCTCTTTCCATTTCCCTCTGCCTCTCCCCCTGCCCCCCACTCGTGCTCTCTCTGTCTCAAATAAATAAAATCTTTTTTAAAAAGCAAAACAAAAGCAAACAAAAAAACAAAACAGAGATCTGGCCATGGCTTGCTCCCGCTCCCTTCTCGGTACCTGCTCCTGGTGGCCCCGAGGGTCTGTGGGTCAGGGGTGACCCCAAAAAGTAGGAGACGGAGGGGGAGCAGGCGTGCAGATGGAAGTGTCTCTGGGGCTCATTCTTTTTTTTTTTTTTTTTTAAAGATTTTATTTATTTGACAGAGAGAAGAGCAGGGGGAGAGGGAGAAACAGGCTCTCCGCAGAGCAGAGAGCCCGATGCGGGACTCGATCCCAGGACCCCGAGATCATGACCCGAGCCGAAAGCAGACGCCCAACTGACTGAGCCACCCAGGCGCCCCTGGGGGTCATTCTTGCTGCTGTGTTCTTGGGAGGAGCAGGAGACCACAAGGAGGGGCCCAGGAGCAATGGCGTCCAAAGAGGAACAGGCGGTACAAAACGTCAACCAGGAAAATTCAGGAAAGGATGAAAAGGAGCAAGGTGCTAATGAAGAAGCCTTGGTCCTCCCTTTGGAAGCTGGTGAATGTCGTGTGCCTCCGTACGTGGTTCCATCCTGCAGTACAGGTGGGACCTGCGTCAGAGGCTTGGAGAGCCACAGAGCCACAGGCAAGGGTGAGAGGAGGCGAGGCAGCAGAGGGAAAAGCAATCTGGTCGTGGTCTGCAGGCAGTTAACACTGACCCTCTTCACCACGACTGGATGAGGAGTTCGGCCTGATGCCTTGAGTCCTGATGTTCTCCCTCAAGTTCATAGGAAGACAGACCTGCTTTCTAAAATTACATGTTCATGATGGACCTTTCCCATCAACCCTTTGGTCTTACATGTTTCTTGTGGGTCTCCTGTTACCAGCTCCTTCCTGAATGTGGGTGGGGGTTTTTGTGTGTTTGTTTTTATTTTAAGTAGGCTCTTTGCCTAATGTGGGGCTTGAACTCATGACCCTGAGATCAAGAGTCACATGCTCTACCGACTGAGCCAGCCAGGTGTCCTTGAATGTTGTATTTTGACTCAGTCTGTAAGATTCTATCAGCCGGGGAGTTTTACCCTATTGCATGGAACGATGCTCATTATATTTTGTGAAGCTAATAAAGCAGTTTAAAACAAACAAACAAAAAACCCAAAACAAAACAAAACAACCCCCTCTTGACTCCACAGCCTCTTCTGGGTACTGGCCCATTTCTCTGTCCCCTTCACCGAAATTTCCTGGAAATACTATTTATCTCCGCTGTCTCCAACTCCTTTGCTCTTTGCTCTTGAACCTGTTGCAATCAGACTTTCGCCCTCACCTTTGGTCCAGACTTGCTCTTATCAAGGTCAGAAACCTCCACATTGCCAAATCCAAAGATCAAGGCTGGTCTCCTTCCATATGATCCACCAGCAACCTGACACAGCCCTCACTCTCTCCTCACTTTCTCCAGAAACATCACTCTCCTGCATCTCCTCCTGCCTGTGTCCCTTCTTCCCACCCAGACTGCTGGATACCGCAGGGCCCAGTCCTCAGGCCTCCTTAGCCACCCACCCATGTTCCCTCGGTGACAGCAGTATGATACCTCCTGTCAACATTAGAATGCCAGCCCTGTCATGATCCCCAACTGCTCGCTGCAGCCCAGGGCCTGTCCCTTAACGGCAGACTGGATGTTTCCACACCTGAGCTTCCCAACTGCCCACCAACCTGCTCCTCCCCTAGGTTCCCCATGGTAGTTAAAGGCTACTCCATCCTTCCAGTGGTTTGGGGCAAAAACCTTGGCGTCACCCTTCTTGGCTCCTGGAACCTTGGGTCATCCTTGACTCTTCTTCTCTGGACCTCCCTCGCAGTCCTGAACCTGACTGCTCCTCACCACCTCCATCATACCACCATGGTCAAAGGTACCGCCACCTCCTATCTGGGTTATGACCATGCTCTTACCTGTTCTCCTGCTCTTAGCGCCCCCGCCCCCCCGTGCACCTATGTTCAACACAGCAGAATGGTGCTTTACAAACGGCAGTTGGATGACGTCACTCACCCCACTGCCCGAATCTCTCAGATGGTTCCCATCTCACTACTCAGCCTTTCAGGCACTACTCCCCATCCAGCCTCCACCCTACCTTTGCTCATGTCCTTCACTGCCCCTTGGGCCCTTCCGGGCCTTAGCACTTGCTGTCCCTGCTGCCTGGAATGCTCTTTCCCTGAGAGCCTGGCAGCAGACTCCCTCACCTCCATTAGCTTTCTGCCCAAATGTCACCTTCTCTGCAAGGCCTTCCCTGACCCTTACTGCCCCGTTGAAAGTAGCAACCTCCCCCACCCTTGCTTTATCTTCTGCATGGGATGCTCTAGAGATTTTACCTCTTTGCTTGTTTAATCTCTGCCCACCCCCACCCCAGCCAGGACACCATCGCATCAGCTGTCCTGTCTTCTAGTGTGCTTGTCACCAACAGAACCAATCTTTCTCATTTATGTATTCATTGTCCTTCTCCCTCACGTGACTACAAGCAGCCCCGGAAGATTAGGCACGCTGCCTGCCCTTATGGCTGGCACTTTTTGGTAGGCACCCAGAAGTTCTCGAAATGGGCATACAGTCACCTGTGATGAATCCTGCTGTGAGGTAGAGCTGGCTAAGGGTGCGGCAGAAGGAACTGGTCACCATGCCCAGGCTGGCCAGTGCGCCCCCCAGCATCACCGTCACTCGGCAGCCAAAGCGTCCCACCAGGATGCTGCACAGGGGTCCTGTGGGGAGGATGCAGGGAGGGGCAGGGGTGAGGAGGCAGCCAGCAGGTGGTGGTTGAATGAGGAGGATGGGAGGGAGGGAGAGTGGGCTTGGGAGGGGGTTCAGCAAGAATTAGCCACGTGGCTTGAAGAGCACAGCCCTGGGGCCTTGTAGGCCTAGATTTTGATTGCTACCCGGCCACAGGCTGGCAAACTCAGTCCATCTCTGCGCCTCCCCTACAGGAGGTCGCACTGGATGACATCTGACCGGCTGCAAGGGGAGGTCCTGCACGTGTGCAGTTTGACCCCCAACAAGGATCCGCAGAGCAACAGACTGAGGCCCTTCACTATGCCAACCTGAGGCTGATTCCATCTAGGTAAAATAGGGTTGGCTCATGACCTGGGTGGGATGCCCCTTGCTGGGGGGTCTGTCTCGGCGGGTGAGGGTCCCAGGGCATCAAAACTAGTGAGCACCTACAGCCCCTGCCTGCTTCCCATTCTCAAGAAGACTGGCCACAGCCTTCCACTAGCCTCCAACCTGTCTAAGGCAGGCAGCCTGGGGCCCTGGGCCACCCCACACCCCCTTGCACTGGCCTCTGGAGTGCTCTGGAGAAAATTGGGTGTGGTGCTTTCTCCCCTCTCCCATCACTTCCAGCCAACACAAAGTCTTGCACCCAGACGTTTGCCTTCTGGTGGAGAAGGGCCTGTTCTCCTCCACCCCACCCCCACCTTAAGCTGCTTTCTCACCGGCCCAGACCCAGAGCAGAAACAAACCAGTCCTGGCTGGCTGCTTCTCCATGCCTTGCAGGGCCCCATTCACTCGGTGCCCCGCCCCCAAGTACACATAATGGAATTTCTACAGTTACCCTCCCAGAGCACAGCCAAAGGAACAGGGAAAGAGAGAGAGAGAGTGTGTGTGTGTGTACGCAGTGTCTATGTATGTTTGGGGAGGAGAAGGCATGTGTGGGTGTGAGCCAGGATGAGTATGGGAGGGACAGAGGAAGTAGGCAGCCCACACTCAGAGATAATCAAGCAGAGGTGGCTAGAGAGGAAGAGGCAAGGCAAGACTCTGCAGGGAACATGACCACTGCCCCACACATCTTCCATCTTCCCCACCCCAAACTTTGGCCTGACTTCCGAGAGGTGACCTTGGGGAAAGCCCCAAGTCATGGCCCTGGGGGTGGGGGCTGAGACCTGCAGCTGCTTACCTTAGCTAGCCGAGGGCACTGGGAGGCAGGGTGTTTTCTTGGCCCATCACTGCTTCTGCCCTGAACTCACTCTGCCACCCCTAACATGCCTTGTACTTTGTGCTTACTTGCTTTCTTCATCTCTAAGATGCGTGGGGGCCGGAGGTGCTTGGGATCGAGGATAATTTCAAGTTTAAAATTTCTCTGGGGACGCCTGGGTGGCTCAGTCAGTTAAGCATCTGCCTTTGGCCCAGGTCATGATCCCAGCATCCTGGGATAGAGTCCCGCATCGGGCTCCCAGCTCAGTGGGGAGGCTGCTTCTCCCTCTGCCTGCCACTCCCCCTGCTTATGTGCTCTCTCTCTCTCTCTGACAAATAAATAAATAAAATCTTAAAAATAAAATAAAATAAAATTCCTCTGATACTCTGAATGAGCATGGGCTAAAGGTGTGTGTGTACGTGAGACAGACAGACAATCCTAGGCCAACTGAGGTGTTGGCATGCCCGCTAGGGGGTGGCGAGTCTAAAGCTGGTTGGGGAGTGGAGGTCCCCATGGATGCCTGTTTCCCAGGCCCTGGCGCGGACCCCTTTCTGGCTGCGTGGAAGGAACCGCCTGAGATTCCCACTTCTGCCCCAACCTTGCAGGTGAAAAGGTCACGCAGTCTGGCCTGGTCCAGGCCTCTCCCAGGGCCCTGAGTCCAGGCCTCTCCCAGGGCCCTGAGTCCAGGCCCCGGGGTGGCAGGTTCAGGGGTAATCTCATGAGGCCATCTCTCCCCGTCTGACTTCTCTCCCAGTTGGAGGGAAGGACCTGGAATAACAAGCAGGCTGCTTGTGCTGGGTGGGGAGTGGCAGGAGGTATGTAGGGAGGTGGAGTCCACGGAGACAGCAAACACACGCATGAGGAGAGCCCGGTGGGCCGTGAGATCTGGCTCCCGTTGACCAGAGCCTCCTCGGCCCACCCCCCCTCGCAGGTCACTCTCTATGGAATCTCCCTCAAGAACTCTCAGGAGCCTGGGGCAGGCCCCTGAGCCCAAGTCTATTGCAGGGAGTCTCCCAGGCAGCCCTGGCCATCCCCCTTCACTGGGGTCAGGGTGAGAGGGTCACATTCTTGGCAGAGCCAAGTAGGAAATGGGGGGGCTGCCTTCACTCGAACCTCCCCAGCCCTTGCAACATCCCTTCTGCTTCCTGCCCTGCCCCCATCTTGCCCCTCGTGTCTTCCTCAAGCCCCCTTTCCCATGCTGAAGCCCCCTTTCCCATGCTGAAGCCCCTGACGAGGTTCTCCAAATACTACTCGCTGGTGACTCATGGGATCCTCCCTATGATCCCACGTAGGAAGTGGGTAGGGTGTTGGGTGTTACCTCCATATCGCAGAAGAAGAAACTGAGGTTCAGAGAGATCACACAAGCAGCTCTTCCTCAAGTCTGTGCTGAGTGCTTGGCACTCCCACAGTCTGCATCGATCCTCCCACGGCGACCAGCCACTGAGAGGACTGGCTTTGCACCTTAGGTACCTCTGTACCCTCTCCCGATCCCCAGCCCAATGCAGCACAGCCCAGCCCTGCAGGATTCCTGCCAGGGGCTGGCCCTGCTGAAATCAGGTGATATCTTAGGAATTCACCCCATGAGACAAAGCCTGTGGCCTCAGAGAGAGAGCTCCGGGAGGCCAAGGAGATGGTGGCTTCCTCCCTCACCCCATGCTCTTTCTCAACCCTCCCTCGGCCCCTCCCCAGGCTGCTCACCCCCAGCGTGGAGCATGGCTGTCAGGATGGAGGGGAACCATGAGGTCTCACTATTGCTGGCTTGGAACTCATGCTGTAGTTCAGTGAAGAAGATGCCAGTGCACGTGGGGAAGCCCAGAGTGAGGCCCTGGGTCACCAGGGAGGCCAGCAGCACCACCCAGGCCCAGCAGCCCTCTGCACGCTCCAGGACCCGGGGCATCCTTTGCCACGAATGCTGCTACCACTGCCTGGGCCACCTGCAGAGGGGACAGAACGGAGCTGCCATCCCCAGTTCACCAGCCACTTTCCCTGGGTGGCTGAAACCATCCCGCCCTCTTGCCCCAGCACTAGGCAACAGAGTGTACCGCCCCCTGGGAGGTGGCCAGAGGCAAAGGCGGTGGCCTTGGCATTTCCTTTCACCCACTTCCCAGAGCCAGCCTGGCAGGAGGGGCAGGCAGGTGAGCCTTCAGTGGGGCAAGGCAGGTGGGTGGAATTCTTTCTAGACTTACATTTGGTAGTCAGTCAGCAGGTGGCACTTCCTGGCCCAGCCTCGGGGGCCCCCTCCCGCACACAGCAAGCACTCAATAGCTGCTTGTAGAACTTGTAAAACGGAACAGATCTCTAGAGCCAGCGTGGTCCCAATGCCCCCACAGACATGCACAGATGCATTTTCCAACATTCATAGGCAGGCTTCCTGCACACAAACAGACTTTCACCACACAACCTGAACAGCAGCGTCCACCGTCAGTGCTGTCGAGACGGCCTAGGTGAGTAAGTCGGTGCTGGGTGTTGTCAGGGAGTGTACGCAGAACAGGGGCGCCCGGGTGGCTCAGTCGTTAGGCGTCTGCCTTCGGCTCAGATCATGATCCCGGGGTCCTGGGATCGAGCCCCGCGTCGGGCTCCCTGCTCTGCGGGGAGCCTGCTTCTCCCTCTCCCGCTCCCCCCGCTTGTGTTCCCTCTCTCGCTGTGTATCTCTCTGTCAAATAAATAAATAAAATCTTAAAAAAAAAAAAAAAAAAGGAGTGTACACAGAAGAGCTGTCCAAGGGCGCCAAACAAGCAGCTTTCAGGAAAAGGCACGGGTCTCATCCAAAGGCCCTGTGAAATCACATCTTTCGCAGGGAGCTCATGGCGGAGGCCAGTTCTACAGCGATGCTCAATAATGATCCACCACCTGTCAGGGCTTCTCTGAGCAACAGCCCCCAACACACACACACACACACACACACACACACACACAGTCACACATGGGCATATACCAAGATACACGCTCACAAAGACACACACACAAACACATACTGCATAGACAGAGACACACAGAACCACACAGGTACACAGACCTATATGCAGACACACACTTACATAGACACACACACACACAGAAAAGTCTAGAGACACACAGACATACAAAGTCACACATGCAGACGTGCCCAGACATATACAAAGAGACACACACGTACACTGATACACACCTACGTGGACACATGCAGACAAGCCCAGAGACAGACAAACGGACACAGACACATGCTACACAGACATACAGACCCACACACGGTCACACACAATGCAGACACACACATGCACAAAGGGTCACACACCATGCAGATGCACGTGCACACCCCCCATCTTTGGCTCAGTCCTATCTCAGTTTTCCACCCCATCCAGGTTGCTCCCTCATCAAAGAAGCTGCCATAACCAGGCCACAAAGCCCCAAGGCCCCTCCCCAAATGTGGAGCCCTTACCCAGTCCCCTCTGTCCCGGCTCTCCACCTGCTCCGTGGTCCCCTGTGGCCCTCAGACCGTACTCAGGGCTCAGGGCTCCGGCAGCCTTTGCCTCAGTGGAGGCAATGGATCCCTTGAGCTACAGTTCCCACAGCCTCCCTCCTTTTAGCCCCAGGTTCTGGGAAGATCCATGGAAACTCAGTAAACTATCAGAAACATGCAACCCCATCTTCCTGTCACGCCCTGCACTCCACACCTTCCCCGCCAGGCCCAGGAGCTTTAAAACAGCACCTAAATGGGATCCACCCTAAACTGCCTCCTTCTGACGCTCCAATCTCTTCTCTGGGCACCAAGCCTCCTCCCTCCCCAGAGGACCCCCAGGAGCTCTGCCAAGATGAGTGGCCCATTCAGCCCAGCCGCAGAGTGCGTGTGTGTATATGTGTGTGTGTACGTGTGTGGGGGGGGGGTTGCTGCAAGCACATCCTGCCATCCTGGCTCCTGCTTGTGGTACTGGCCCCAGAGATCCCTCAGCCCCAGTCCTCCTGGCCCGGTTCCAGGCTCAGGCAAACTTCAGATACAGTTCCCTTCCAGGATTTCTGTTCCTGCAGCAAATGGAAAGGCCACGGTGCAACCTGATCCTGTGTTGGCCTGAATGTCCCCTCCACACCTCAATGTCTCCAGCGCTGGGCCCTTAGTCTGCCCTGAACTGCCGCTTTCCCCTCTTCCTCCCAGAAGGGCCACCAGCCTTCCTCCACCGCCTTCACTCCCTCCTGCCCTACCCCTGTCACTTCCAAGTCCTGGGACCCTGCTGGTTTCCTTTCAACGGAGCACACTGTCACTTGACTCAGAGGTAGCAGGGCATCTGATGCCACCCAGAGAAGGTGGATGACAGAGGAGACACAGGCCCAGCTCTGGTCCTTTCTCATTCATGCTTGTTCTGCCCCTTTATAGAGAGGCCTCTTCCCCCAACCTCCCCCACCCCACACCTGAGTGGCCTCTTTAGTGCCCGTATTAGCAGCCGCTTCTCCAGGTAGCCCTCTGGGGACTTTGTCCAGGATTCTGACCTTCACTCTGCACCCACCCTCTGTCTATATCTTTCAGTGGAGCTGACTTTTCCAAGCCTCTCCTTCCTCCAGGCCTCTGGGGACAGTCAGAGCCCAGGAAATCCTAAGCACCTCTGCTCTCTCTTTGCATGCTGGGAGCCCTGCCTCCCGGGTCTGAGGACCCCTGGCCTCCCTCTGGGAGTTCCCCCTGCAGACTCTGCCTTCCACAAGGGGGCATCCCCTCCCAGACCCCCAGTGACTCCTAGGTCATAAACAGCTTTTTTGTCTGGTTGGTCCTCTAGCTCCCTCTCCTAGCAAGCTGGTCCCTCTTCAAAAACTAGGCTGCCGAGGGCACCTGGGTGGCTCGGTCGTTAAGCGTCTGCCTTCGGCTCAGGTCATGATCCCAGGGTCCTGGGATCGAGTCCCACATCGGGCTCCCTGCTCGGCGGGAAGCCTGCTTCTCCCTCTCCCATTCCCCCTGCTTGTGTTCCTGCTTTCGCTATGTCTCTCTCTGTCAAATAAATAAATAAAATCTTAAAAAAAAAAAAAAAAAAAACTAGGCTGCCGAGGTTCCAAAATCCTAGCCAGAGAGAATCCTGTTGGTCCTTCAAGATTCAGCCCTGACAGCACTCCTGGGAAGCTCCCGTGACCTCCACCACAGGCTGGACTAGGCCCCCTTCCTCTATTTCTCTCTTTCATTGTACTTTTCACACCACATTGGAGTGGATCATTCTCTTGTTTATCATTGTTGCCCCTCCTCCCCCGCCACCCCCTACACTATGAGCAGGGACCTCTTCACACACCCCTACCAGGCCTTGGGTGAGCACAAAAGATAACATTAATGTGACCCACCTGTGTTCCCCAGGGGGCAGGCAAGACCAGGACCAAGGGTGACCTGGCTTCCTGGCAGGCAGGTCCATTCCAGAAGACTCAAGCAGAGTGGAGAAGAGATGGGGCTGGGGGCTCTGGCTCCAACTTTGCCCCAGAAGGCAAGTGGTCTTTCCTTTGTACTGGGCACCATGAATCATGATCACTGCCTGGTACGTGGTTGTGACAAGGAAGGAAATGCAGCTGAAGACATTTCAATTTCACTTCCGGGGACTGGAAGCTCTCCACAGGAGCTGCCCACCTCAGCCCTCAGGGACCCCAGCCCAGAGTCAGAGTGACTACCTTCGTGCCCAAGTGGCAGGAAGCTGGGTTTGTGGACAGGGCACAAGATCAAATGGCATTTCTTGTCCTTCAAACATTGCATGCATCCTTTGGTTTGTTTTTAGGGCTTCCCATCTGAGGCCAGAGCCTTCACTAGGCCCTCAGAATCCCTTCTCTGCCCCTCTAAGCTTGCAGGCATGGCCATAGGAGGGAGCACTGGGTTTTGGTGTGCTAAGTGGAGTGGATGCAAAGGAGCCCTCACCAGCTCCAGAGCAAGCCCTGGAGACCCCCTCCCTTCCCAGACCCCATATCAGGCAGGGCCCAGGACACAGGGTGGCAGTGTAGGAGAGCTGCCAGAACCAGCTTGAGCTTGGGACTGACAAGCCCTCAAACCCCTACACTTGGCAGGGGCTGAGGAAGGAACTAGGTGTTCGAGAACTTCGTGAGCGGGGACAAGTCACCCTCTTCCTTTCTCTGTCTCCAAACTTGCCCCCACATTCCCGCAGGGGCCGGCTGACCTTAGCCTGGAAGGGGGATGGGATAGGCAACAGGAACGTCATGACCCTGCCATCCGGGGTCATTCCGCTTTCCCACCCTCCCCAGGACGGATCTTCCCTGGGTGGGGCTTCTGGGACGCCCAGGCGGCGCCCGCGTGGAGATTTCAGGCCAGGCCTGGCGTAGTGCCCGTGCCTCCCCCACACCCCAGGCCGTGGAGGGTGGGAGTGGCTCGGGAGAGCCCCCTCAGGCGTGGGGGTCCCCAGCCATCTCAGGCTGGGGCAGCTCAAGAACGAGACAAGACTTTCCTGGATCCTCAACCCGGAGCCCGTCACAGGCGGCGAGGGGCCCGGGAGGTCCACGGAGAGGCGCGTCCGCGACGGCGCAAACGCGGACGCCGGCGGCAGGGCATCTTACGGACAGTGCGGAGGCCCGGGGAGCCCGCTCACCGGCTCGCGCGGCCCGGCGGTGGCGCAGCTCCACTCCCGCCGAGCGCGGCGTCCTGCGGCCCGGCCCGCGAGCGATGGAGGAGGCGGGACGCCGCCGGCCCGCGGAGAGCCGCGCCCTCGGGGGGCGGGCCGCAGGGCGCCCGGGGGGCGGGCCCACCTCCGCGTCGCCGGCCGGCGGGGAAGGAGGCCTGGCCTCCGGGGGGGGGGGGGGCGTGGCGGGGCGGGGCCAGGGCTTGCACCCCTAATCTCAGCCTGGTCCGGGGCTCAGAGTGGCCTGGCCCGTCCTGCAGCCCGCCGGGCTCGAGACACCGGCTCCGCGGAAACATTTGCATGTGATTAGCATGCAGATGTTTCCTGCTCCCTCCGAGGGCTGGGGCTCCCAGGAGTGGGAAGGAGAAAGCGTGTGATTAAGGGGCTCTGCCTCCCAGCGGGAGTCGGGTGGGAGGCCAGAGCGGAGGACCCGTTCTTTGTAGGCTTTAGTCGCCCCCCCCCCACCCCCAGTGGTCCTTCTACTGAAAGCCTGGAGCTTGAGGGCCGCACCCAGAGGAACTCAGGTATCTGCGGGCGAGCCAAGAGGGCTACCCCTCAGACCTGCAGGCCCTTTTCCAACTTCTTCCCACCCAGCCAGCCCTTAATATGTACTATTTAAAGCTTTTTCAGAGGGATCTGGGTGGTTCACTTGGTTAAGCGACTGCCTTCGGCTCAGGTCATGATCCTGGAGTCCCGGGATGGAGTCCCACATGGGGCTCCCTGCTTAGCAGGGAGTCTGCTTCTCCCTCTGACCCTCCCCCATCTTGTGCTCTCTCTCTCTCAAATAAATAAATAAAATATTAAAAAAAAAATAAAGCTTTTTCAGTTACTACAAAGTTATGGTCATCAAGATAGTGTGCTACTGGGGTGCCTGGCTGGCTTGGTCAGAAGAGCATGCGACTTGATCTGGGGGTCCACAGTTCAGTTGGGTGTGGATATTACTAAAAATAAATAAACTTAAAAAAAAAAGGACAGTGTGGTACTGACATAAGGATAAACTTATAGATCAAATGGAATAGAGTTGAGAATAAACCCTTATATTTCTGATCAGTTGATTTTCTATAAGGGTCTTGAGACAACCCAGTATGGAAAGAATGATCTTTTCAGCAAATGGTGCTGAGACAACTGAAAATCCACACGCAAAAGGATGAGCCTGGACTCTACCACACAGGATTAAAAAAAAGGGTCATAACTAAAAGTATAAAACTTTTAGAAGAAAACACAGGAGTAAATGTTGATGACCTCGAACTAGGCATGGATTCTGAGATATGACACCAAAAGCATCAGTGACAAAGGTCACTGGCAATGCTAGGCATGGATTCTGAGATATGACACCAAAAGCATCAGTGACAAAGGAAAAAGCCACATAAATTAAAACTTTTATGTGCCAAAACACCACCAGGAAAGTGAAAAGATAGCCCTCAGAAAGGAAGAAAATTTGCAAATCATATATCTGATAAAGAACTTGTATTGAGAATATACAAAGAATTCTTATAATTCAACAACCAAAAGACAACCCTTTTAGAAAATGGGCAAAGGATCTGAGTAGACATTTCTCCAAAGAAGACATACAAATGGCCAATAAGCACATGAAAAGATGCTTGGGGCCCCTGGGTGGCTCCGTCAGTTAAGCGTCACACTCTTGATTTCAGCTGGGGTCTTGATCTCAGGGTTGTGAGTTCAAGCCTCACATTGTGTTTCATGCTGGGTGCGGAGCCTGCTTTAAAAAAAAAGAAAAAAAAAAAAGATGCTCAACATCATTAGTCACCAAGGAAATGCAAATCAAAACCACAATGAGATACCACTTCACACCCACTAGGATGGCTTAACTTCTGGGTGAATTATGTAGGAGATACTTGCATTAGTTAAAAGTTACGCCTTAGACATAAGTCATCTCCGTGATTATGTTTCATTTCTTGCCAGTGGTCTCCATGCTGGGTTTGGCTCTTATGTGAAGGGACATTCATTTTAGCCTGAGTTTCCTTGGATACAAACATTGAGAGGAGGGGGTGGGGTCCATTAAAGTGCATCCATGGTCCTCTAGGGATGGTCTCAGGCCTGTATGGGGGACAGAAGGGATCATACTCAGGGATCTGCACCATCTCAGCACCTCGCACTTCAGCCTGGCTCAGTCCTGTGAGTGGCAGTCCCTGCCCCTGGGTACTCAGAACAGACTGGATGCAGCCCTCCACCCCATCCCTGGGTACTCTGGCGGGATCCAGGACTCGATACCCAGGGACTACCTGGAAGCTTCTACCTCTCTTTTTCCCAGGATCTCACCGTTCTCTCGGGAGCTCCACTTTTAACTATGACCTCTGCTTCATCAAGATAAAATTGATAGAGCTGTGGGGACACTCCCTCCACCTTCCCGGACTCTGAGTCCTTCTCGAGGGTGAGGTTCCCAGCAGGCTGGAGCATGGTCACTGTGGCCGCAGAGCTCCAAGCCGGGGTCTGGCAGACATTCCCTACAGCCTTCCCCAGCCTTCCTCTGTGCCTCTGTCCCCTAAGTGCTGGTCGAAGTGCACAGCCTAGCATCAGGTCCCCTTTTGTGAGAGCCTAGAGACAGCTGTCAATACAGGTGAGTGACTAGAGACACAGAGTTGGAAGGGTCATCCTCCTACAGATAAGAGAACTGAGGCATCTGCTCAAAGAGAGGGAGGCACTTGCTCAAAATCACAAATTTTCAGGAATTAATAGTAAGTAATTAGTACTTAATAGCACAATCACCATACATCAGTACAGATTATCAACCACCACCACACTCTGTTGCTGAGATCTTTGCACGTGGGTGGTGGAACACTGTCTCGAGGAGCCTTGTCTTTATCTGATTGGCCCCTGGTTGGTCTTCAGGTGTCCACTTAGAAGCCCCTTCCTCCAAGAAGGCCTCTCAGACCTTATAGGTGGAGGCATTAATCCCGCTGAGTGCTGTGTGTCTCCCACTAAGCTCCTTGCTTTCTTGCTGGAGGATCCGTGCTTCCCCAGAACTTAGCACAGTGTGTAATGCAGGATTATAATAGCTAAGAGAAGGGTCGACATGTATGGTATGGAGTGCTGTCCAGGTACTAGCTCATTGGCTGAAATGAAGGAATGAATTATTGCCCATCCAAGTAACTCCCCCATTCCTGGGTCTTAACACCCTAAGCCCACAGTTTGGGATTCTTTAAAAAATATTTTAGGGGCACCTGGGTGGCTCAGTCGTTGAGCGTCTGCCTTTGGCTCAGGTCATGATCCCAGGGTCCTGGGATCGAGTCCCACGTCGGGCTCCCTGCTCCGCGGGAGGCCTGCTTCTCCCTCTCCCACTCCCCCTGCTTGTGTTCCCTCTCTCGCTATCTCTCTCTCTGTCAAATAAATAAATAAAATCTTAAAAAAAAAATTTTAAGTGCTTAGAAGTTCCAGGATGGGGTCCTGGTCTCTCTGTCCCTCTCCCCAGTTCTTGGCCTCTATGACCCTGTGATATCTCTGGCTTTGTCCCTGCTGGGACAACAGGGGTGACCTGTCTGGGCTGTCCTGAATGCTGTTGGTGGCTGGACCCCTCAGGGCCTTACCTTCTCCACCAGCACTGGGGCAGCTTCTCTATTCGTTCTCTTTCACTCCTCTGCCTGTTTGCCCTACTCTGCCCAGGGTGTGTGGCAGCTTGTCGGCTGGCCCCAGAGGTCTAGCTGGCTATTTGCCCAAAGACCCCGTGAATTCATATCTGATGGGCACGGTCTGTCCTGGAGCTGGTCATAGATGCTGGCGGTGATGTTGGGCACCCAGAGCTTCCACCGCCCCCCCCCCCCGGCTCCAGCCCCCACCTTCGGGGGTAGGCAGAGATGTCCTGCTCTCTCCCACTTAGGAGC